CTTCCCATGCTCCCCCGATACCAGGATTGTGAATATGACCCCCTTAAGCGGGGGTCGCCGCAACTGACGGCTCGCCCACATCCACCCTATTCTTGGCCCCCCTGCCCACATTTCTGCGACCCTGGCCCCTCGATTCGGGTGTTAAATCCGGCGAGAAGCGATTCAACGCGAACAAAAAGAGTTAATTATGGCACAAAGTGCAGTTGAATATTTTTCTGTTTTTATTTATTTCTTATTTAGTTGTGGATTAGCATTACTGATTCTGGGCCTTTCGTTCGTGTTTTCACCACGGAAACCTGATCCAGAAAAAATTTCCGCCTATGAATGTGGTTTCGACCCTTTTGATGACGCACGAAGTCGGTTTGATATTCGTTTTTATTTAGTAGCAATATTATTTATAATATTCGACTTAGAAGTGACTTTTTTATTTCCGTGGGCTATGGTATTGTGTGACCCGTTCACTGGCAAATAGCCTAGTAATCATTGCTCGTCCTTAGATCGAGAACTCAACTGTCATGAGGGCGAAAACCCCTCCCCAGAGCGAAATTAGGGTGAAAACGTTGCCCACATGCTATAAGGTATGAAGCTGGGCAAAATAGGATAGTTTTTGTAAACTCGGCAATAATAAGGCCCCCTAATTGGGTTCGCAGAAAACGCATCTGGGGTGGGGGGAAATAACAATTCGACCTGTCCAACCGCCGGGCCTCCTATGAGTTCTCGGTTTGGGGGGCGTGCTTGACCACCTTGTAGCAATTGGGCCCCCTGCAAGGGGGGGCCAGACTGCGCTGGTCCGCATCACTTTTGCGTTTGCGAAAGGTTGCCCACACCCACGGGTATATTTATATTAGCTATCCTTGTGCAAGGGCGTGTAATCGTCCTCTTCAGTGTTTATCCCCGGCGTCGCCGGGGATCTGTTTCCCCTACAGGTGTACGAGCCCAGGCACTTAGTCCCCTAGGGAGACTGGCTCGTCAGAGAGATCTCCCCACAAGGTGGCGCAGCCGCAGTCTAATTGCCGCATTTTTTTTGCTCACAGGAGCGCGCAAGCGCCCTGGCCCCGGTCGGGGGCAATTGCTGCCCACAAAGTGGGCAGCAGGCACACCGCCTGTTCGCTATGGGAACCCCCTGCCCAGGCCACCTAGGGCGCTTGCGCGTCCTAGGTGGCCCCGGTAGGGAAAATTGGGCACGCCTGCCCCCAGAAAGCCAACGATATTTTGTCCGGCACAGGACGGCAAGCGCCATCCAGACCGGGGCATTTGTCATAACGCCATCCCCGTTTCACGAGCCCAAGCAGCGTGAGATTTTGACGCGGCCGACCTTCAATTTTTGCGACCCTTGGTCGGCCGCCCTCCACACTGTAAGCGCCCGTTAGTTTGGCGCGCCCAAAAGACCCCTTGTTCCACGCTTAGCGACAACTGGAAGATCCCCCAAAGTACTGGTCGTATAAAGCTTAAATTTTGGCGTATTAGTCCGAAGGACGCTCAATACACGTATCCCTTGATGGGCCGGCGACCACTCGATTGGGTTGCCAGCAAGGTGGCGCATCCACGGTTTATGTTATGCTGTCTCTAGTTTCTAGTAGCGCATAATAGGTGCTAGACTAAGGTTTTCGAGTGGGTCACCCTTGTGAGAGGATACCGGCGACTCCCCGGCGAAACCGGGGAGGGTCGCAGAATTGGGCTCGCCCCGTAGCCTGGGCAGGGCGCAAGGCGACCGGGCCCCCTGGCGACCCCAGCGGCGCTACCGGGGGCTTTGTTACGGGATGGTCTAACTAGCCGCGTAGGACATGCTACCCGAATGTAGCAACCGCGGCGTGCACAGATTAGGACCACGTCATAGAATCTGCTCCCTGGTAACTCGGCCAGCGGCTCGCGACGCTCGCCCCTGAGGGTGTGACGAACCTAAAAGAGCAAAGAGGCTATTGATGGTTAACGTGATAGTTTCGCATTTGGCGAAAAATAAAAAGTGAACCGCCCCGGTTTTCAACCCGGGCTCCCGGCGACGCGCCGAAAAGCCCAACAAGAATGTTCCGAATCCCTCGCGCGCAATCAAGGGTTTGCATACGCTAGGCCGCCATTGACCCGACCGGGCGGCTGAAGTAAAACGACGATTGTCTACTTTTGGGCGTATAGACCCCGGTAGAGACGGGGTTTAGTCGAACAATAAGACGCGCAAGCGCCAACGGGAATAATGGCTCTCTTGCTTTGGAAAGGCGCGGGGACTGCCGACCTGTTGGGTGCCAACAGGTTGTATTCGTTGGCCCCCGCCCCTCACTTCGTTCGGGGCCATCAACCCCCCGGCGTATACCAGGAACCTTCCAGCCCTAAAAAAATGACAGTTGGGGACGGTAAAAACCTCAACGTGTTACTGTGAAACGCGCCCCACAGCCGTTAATGAGTAGGAGAAGGCAATAAGCAATCGCCCATCCGTAATGGATCAGATATGCCCACATGCCTCCGCGGTAGGCTCCTAAGTACTGCTTCTCGCGATCCCGGGGGCACAAGATTCCTCGTAGTGACGGCGCTGTTTGTCGGTAGAGTTTCCGCGCCCTCGCCACGAAAATACAAAGCGCGCTTGTGATCCCCCCCCGACCCAAAAACCCCCGCCCCGGTCGCCTTGCGCCGTGACCCCGGCTCGATTCGGGCGGGGGAGCGACCGCAGTGGCGCCATGGCCCACCGATTCGCTGCGACCACACCTGTCCGCCTGCAGCGCGCATAGTGCGGCAAACGGCCCTCAGGCGACGTGAATCAAAGCGTGGACTGGCTAGGCAACAGATCCGGCTATGCCGGGAACTAAGGGCATCCCTCCCTCACCACGATTAAATGTTGTAAGGTCACACGAGCCTAGGCCCCACGCCTCCCCCCCTACGGCAAGAGCCTAGCCGTGTAACAGGTGTCAACAACAACTACGTTCGGGGGCCGCGCCAGCCCGAAAAAATACTAACAACAAGAAGGCGCCATAGACAGCCACCGTAGGTGGCCTGGGTCTCGTATGATGGCGTAACCTGAATTGGCGGAACGCTGGATGCCCTGGGAGGCCGCGGGTCGCTATAGCCCAATCGGGCGATCTGAGGAGACGCGCGAGGAGCCGTATGATCGGAAACGATCATGTACGGTTTTGAATTGGCGGCAAGGGTCGACCACAGAGTGTCTTGCGTGCTTTATAGTAGCCTGTTTACTCGCATATGCTGTTATTCCCCCCCACCCAGGGTCCACCCGGTCCCGGCCGGCCGGCCCACAGGCAGGCAGGTGTGGACGCTGCGGCTTGCGCCGTCTGGGGGCAGGCGGTCGGGAAAATTGGGCACGCCTGCCCCCAGAAAGCGCGGGAAGTGCGCGCTCGTGGGTTAATGGCGCTTGCCCGTCCTGGTTATGTATGTGCCTAGGTTATTCCCCCCCACGCCCCCCGGCTTGTCCCAAACGTAGCACTCGAGCCCTCAGGGCTCCCGTAGGTGGGTTCTAGAGTGCTTCTACCCGTGGTTTTACTCTAGTGAATAAATAATGGCGCAAGCCTCTCGTATACGCGGTGCATGGCCCCCCAGTGATAGTGGATTGTGATGTTGACCCCAGCCCCGGCTGCGGGACAGCTGGATCCTCTGGCCTTCGGGACGGGCAAGCGCCATTGTGCGCTGGGCGCAAATTCCCGGCATAGCCGGGAATTGGGGCAGTGCATAGATGTGTAGGGGGGTTGCCCAAAATTATCACCGAAATTAAAACCAGTTTACGCGGTCAACTTTTAACAGGTTTGCACGGCACCAGATTGACTGACCCCGGGGTCGCCTGTGCAGAGGAATGCCTTTTGATACAGTATATGGATATAGGGCGAGTGCCGCGAGTCCTAGGGGCCAACCGGCGGCTGCGCGATTATCGTGAGTTGCCGCTGGTGCTCGCCTTCGGATAGCACTAGACTAGTGACGATAATTTGGTTGTTTTTTCCCGGCGCTTGCCAGCGTGTACTGCCCGGCCGCGGTACACCGGGCAACAAGTACGGTCTCTTGGGGGGTCATTAGACGCCCGAGCAGTCATAGGGGATCGGTAGCAAAACAAATGGTATCTCTAATGTATCAAAAGCGCAAACCTGCAATTCGTTTAAACCAGGACGGGCAAGCGCCATTACGGACCATCCGAGGTGCGACCTGTAGCCTGATTTGTTTGCCTATAAAGGCATAGTGGCCATTGCTTAGCAACTCTATAAGCCGGGGGGCCCTGTGCACAACCGTCATTGCGCCTCACAACGTTGGGCGCCCTATACAGGTGGATAAGCAGCAACCACAATCACACGCTTGCCCCGGTCACGCACCCCGGCGACGCCGGGAACCCGGCAGGGTCGCCTTGGAGCGGTGGAATGGTTCCCCAGTGTTCACAGACGCCTGTGGACCGTGGGGCCGCCCCGGATCCGCTGGCGCAAGCCGCTGGGCGCTTGCCCGTCCCGGGGCCGGGGGTGCCTGCCTGCGCCCTTTGGGGGGCTCAGGCACTCGGGTTGCGCGGGCAAAAGTTGCGCACGAACAAGTACATACTCGGGGATACTTTGCCGACCATAACAACAAATATAGGTTTTTTTGGTTTTTGGTCGATGGTTGTTTTTTTGATTATTTTAACTATTGGCTTTTTATATGAATGGCAAAAAGGGGCTCTCAACTGGTCATAATCGCCGGAGGGCGAGTACTACCTATTTTAATCCTAATCGGGGATTAATTCATTCGCGACTCTCGGTTATTCTGTGGCTTAAAGTAGCCACCGCCGGCTTCTTGCCCTTGGGGGTTTATCACTCTGTGGGAAAGTTTAGTATGTACCGACTCGGGACCCTCCTCGACCCTCGCCCGGTCGGGGGCAATTGCGCGCTTGGGCTGACGGGGCCTTGCCCCCCCCCTCTGGGGGGACACGGCCGGGGTCGGCACCCCCCAGAGGGGGGGGGCCATGGGGCCCTTTACATTAGGGGCGCTGTCCGCAGGACGCTTGACCGTCCTGCGGACAGTGGTAAAAATAAAAAATGGTTGCCGAAAATAGGAAAATAGTTTAATCGGTAGAACATTGGTCTCCAAAACCAAGGGTTAGGGTTCGACTCCCTATTTTCCTGCAATAGTTATCAGGTTCGGGTACATCTAATATGTGGGGTGGTCGGTGCTCACACATTTTTCCCGACCGGGGGCCAAGATTCATAAAATATTCGATCGTGTTTTTTGTGTGTCAGCCGGGGGGGCCCCGGCTCGCCGACCTTGACCTTTTTGGCAGAACCACCGACCTTTGGTCGGCGCTTTCCGAAGGACAATGTCCTGTGGTCGGCACCTTTTCCCAGCCCTTCCACTTTTGCACCCAAACAACTGTCCACAAAGTGGACGGCAAGCCCGCCTGGTAGCGGTGCGTGGGGTCGGACGTGCTTATCCAAGGCGTAGCAACTCGGCAATTTTAATTTCTACTCACCGACTGCTTTAGAGTAGGTCGGTCCATGTGCAGCGAACCGCCCCCATTTTTGCGATGTTGGCGCCCCGAAAGGCCGGGCCGAGTATTTGACGCCGCGCTCTGCGCGGCGTATCGTGGGGTATTTTATAAGAACTCCGGGGCGTTTGCGCTACGCCAATCTAGCGAAAGGGCCGCCAGCATCGCCTGGACATTGGCTCGTGTTTAGAGCATAGAAACTCGCAGCCCCGGGGCCCAATAAACCCCCTGCAGGGAGCCTCTATAGCTACGCCAAACGTATAATTCAGATGCCCGTCGTACCTTCGCAACGGATGCTTTGGTAAGGGCCAGGATTTATAGAGTGTAAGTGTAGACTAAAAAATGGGGTTATGCGAGCGGTCGGCGAGTCAATGCACGGCGCTTGCGCGCTCCACTAATCACAATACAAATTCCCATTGTATCCTCGTTATCACTAGTGTGCTATGACGGATTTGCGCTTTTTTATACCCATAGCCAACCGCGCGCTGTATAAGACTGACGCGGACCGTGCGCAAAATTAGTCCTACCGCGGGATACTCGGCGCCCTCGATCAAGCGCCACTGCGGTACAGCAAATACCGTGGTTGCAAGAAAAAGCGTTCGCAAATGGACTACGCTCGAACAGTAGTCTTATCATCTGATCGCACGAGAGGCTTGTGCGCTTGTAAACTATTGTAAGCGAGGGGATTACCTAACCAATTGCCAGAAGCACGACCGGTCGCCTTGCGCCGTGGCCCCCGGCTCGATCTGGTGCCCGACAGCGAAGCAAGCATTGGGGCTTCGGGTCGTATTGGGCGCCACAAGCGACATTTGTTACTGCAACGGCCCCCCCCCCTCTGGGGGGGGGGTGAGCCGCCGGCGCGAGCCGCGGGTTCCGCGGCGAGGCCCTGTCGGGTTTCGGGCGGGGGGCTCAGGCACATTGGTGCGCGCAGCGTTTCTGGGGGCAGGCAATTGTAACCTCCCTGCCTGCCTGCCTGTGGGCCGGCCGGCCGGCCGGCCGGCCGGCCGGTGGGGACCAGGCAATTGCCTGCCCCCAGAAACCCGACCGGGACCAATGACCCTTTGTGGAACTTTTTGACCCATCGGGGGGCACATTGGCGCTGCGCGCAATTGCGTTTTTGTTTAGGCTCACCAATTGCGTACTAGAATAACAGCACACGGGTCTGCTCGCTTGTGTGCAGAGATCCGTCCGATGCCTGGGGCTCTACGGTCTCTCGTATACGTTTAATGGGGCTCGTGTCGAACCGGCTTCGCCGTGGTGCTTTTTTGTCCACCCCGCACAAAAATTGTCGAATATAGGCTCCACGGCGCCGATAGGGCAGGGTCGCAGAAATTGCAATCACATTGAAAGTGCCCCCCCTACGGGGGGGAGTACTGTATATCTATATCTCAACACTGCCTCCGGGTATTTAAGCATAGGGTCTTCTACAGTGGCTGCAGGTGACCTGTGTGTCTTGGATAATGTGTCTTAGCAATAATGTTATTCTCCAGAAAAATGCACACAGTAGTAATTTGGCGTAGTGACACATTGTGCCCGCGACTCTCGGAGGCCTCCACGCTTAGGGCCCCAAGTGGGAAGCTAATCACAATTTCCAGATTTCTGCGACCCCGCCGGCCCACAGGCCTGTGGGCCGGGCAGAATGACCTGCAGCGCCATTGAATCTACTTGTCACTATTAGAGGCACTCAAGCACCTACGCCACCGTGGTTAACAAGAAGCACTCTGTGTTGCAAAAATGGCGTAGCATCCGGGGTTTCCCGTAGCCTGTCGTCCGCAGTCAAATGCCACCTCCGCTGGACTTAGGCCTCGATATTGATTTGCGCTGCCCACGAACGGGGCGTCTTGTGCCCAATTTTTCCGCCCGGGGGCACCAAGTCTCGGCCCGCAGCCCCCTAGGTCGAAGCGCCCGCTTGGTCAAATCGCCGATCCACCATATTTGCCGTACCCTTACAATTTCTGGGGTCGCCACCACCAGCACCGACCGTGGCCGAAACGAGGCTACGCCAGCGGTAACAGGGGTACAAATCGCATAAGCGTCAATCATCTGATCATTAAGCAATTGGCCAAGCCAATAATACGCCAGGGGGCCCAATAGGTTTTGGTGCCAGACCAGCCACGCCCCAAAGGTCAGTTGTGAATGAGAGGCGTGGAGTTTATACATACCACTGGGCTTAGAGTGGCGCGCTTTATCCCAGGCCGGGGGGCCCCTAAGCGTTTGGCGACGCCTCGAAATACTTGCTCTCGCGAGGCGCGTACTTGTTGCCACCCTCGGTTGTGCGCTCGCAAAAATCGTCGAGCTCGAGTGCGTAATTATGAAATAGGTGATCGTTCGCCCCTTCGAAGCGGACAGTCGAAAATCCCTGACCACGCCGGGGTTTATTAAGCACACAAAAGGGTTTGATTCTCGCCAGAGGATCCGCCCCCGTTGCCCGCGTGACCCCCCCCGAGGGGGGGGGATCTGTACTTGTACTGTAGGGAGCCAGGTCGCGTTGTAATGTCTTGGGGCCGCGGGATGCCGACGCAGGCGGCTAGTGTTACGTAACAACTGTCTCGGGCCGGTTTTTTTGATCGCCGGCCGCTCGCACAGGATGCCCGTCTAATACTGGCGGTAACCGTATTGTTTTAGGAACGTTACATGCTACGCGTTTACTAGCCTTCGGGGCGGCCGCACCGGCTTTTCCGCTTTTATTGTTAAGACCGGTATAGTTATTGCAGCTTCGCTGCCAATGCCGGTCAGGTGCTTTTGTACTCATTTTACGGCAACACCGGTGTGTGGCGGTGTCTATCGGATTGAGGAGCGGCGTGGCTAGAGTCTCCCTCGCCCGAGCGAGACTCCGCGGACAGTATTTAGTGTGGAAAGCCGCGCCATAAAATATAAGCGGGGGGCAAATAAGGTGCTTGTTCGGGCCCCTGCGCCCCCATAGGGGCTCTCGTTGATGTAACCACCCCACCATTTCTGGGACCCTGGCCTTTGTCACATCCAGTCGATCCTATATACTTATACACCCAGCGATCTTCTAAGGTTGTGATCCCACGAGCCTACCGAATGGCCTCACTCAGCTCTACACAGAAGATCCGCCCACACGGCGGGTCTCAAGGTGGCGCAGGTCACTCGGGAAATTGGTCGGCGAAGAGACCCCCCCCCCGCCCCTATTGGGGCCCTCAGAACAACGATGCTTGGGGCCGCTGCCCGCCCGGAAGGGTCGAACAGGCGGGTCCTAGTATTGTCCTGCGTTTTAGGATTTTTATTGCCCCGGCGAGCACCCCATTCCACGCCTCACTAGCAAAGGCGGCTCCCCTGCCCGGCGGCCGCGGCCCATGATCCACATATTATATTGGTGAGACGCCCTATGAGAAATCCCCGAGCGCTAGGCGAACAAACGGCCTGTACAGTATATTGGACGTTGCGGCGCTGCGTGAAATTGTCTGCGCAGCAGACAATTGGGAAAACAGGCTCGGCGAGGGAGCTGAGGATCCGTCCGTGTACGCCCATGGGTCGGTTACGCACTTGTGTGCGCCGCCGTGAAACGGACTACGTGATAAACTATATAGGTAAAAATAAATGGTTTTTGTCAAAAAGCGAATCGAAAACATAAATCCAACACCCGTAGGGGAAACATCCGCGAGTTTTACAACTGATAATCGGCAAAAAATTATTGGCGTGTTGTTGATTTTTTGTGTGTGCAGCTCAAAAAAATTTTTCATTTATAACGAAGAACTTTTAGTTGCTTCTAGCTTTATTATTTTTATTTTTTGTGGTTTTTATTATTTTAGTGATACTGTAACAGAATACTTAAACTCTAGAGGTGAAGGCATAAAAACAGAACTGCAAAATTTCTTACGCTTAAAGCAAGATTTTCATAATGAATTAATCAAGGAGCACAAAAATATACAGAATTTTAGCATCAATCTCTCTAAAATGGCTAAATTTTTTCATTATAAATTTCGTAATTCATTCACTTTATCTATAAAGTACAGTCACGAAACCGCTAAATTGTTATTGCTAGAAAAATTTGAAACATGTTCTTTAGCACAACTAACCTTTCAACAAAATTTACAAAAAGCAATGATCAAAAACTTTAGAGAATCGTTATTAGCAAGGTTTTTAGTACGTGCCCTTAAAAACAAGTCCAAAAAACAAGCATTGTTAATTCTAAGCGGTCATGCAAATAGGCGCGTCTCTTTAGTTTAGGGGCTATGGGGTTCGCAGAAATGTAGCGAGGCCGACAATCTGCTGGCGAGCATTTACATACCCCGTCTCTGCCGGGGTATTCCGAGTGCCTCACAAGTAGATTCGGCGTGTATTGTGGTTCGTTGACGGTCACTTCGCGACTTGCTATATTGGCAGAGACGGAGCCTGCGTGCAAGCCACAACCCTAATGGGTCGGTACGCCATAGATTGCCGGCCAATATAACTAGCCCTTTAGGGCTAGGGAGAGGTGACGTACATATAAACCGGACAGCAGCTCGAGACGCCCGAAAATCCTTAATTGCCTGCCGCCGGGGCAATAGTGCTTCGCAACAAGTCAAACCTGCGCTGTCGCTGGAATATCGTCAAAATGGGGGTGGAGCTCGGATGGTTTGAGTGTTGGTCTGTCACGCCAAAGGTCGCGGGTTCAAGTCCCGTCTCCCTCGTCGTGTGCTTGTAGCTCAACAGGACAGAGCATCAGACTACGGATCTGAAAGTTGAGAGTTCGAATCTTTCCAAGCACATTTTTTAAGTTTGTCCGAGCGCAAAAGTAGGCTTCTGTTAATATAATGAGACGGCGCTTGCGCGACCTTCGGGGCCCGGCAGGGTCGCCTTGAAGCGGTGAAATGGGCGAAGCACTGCCCACACCTGCCGGTTCCCCCCCCGCCCCGATAGGGGCAGGTCCGGGGGGGAATCACCCGGCCTCCCCAGTGTTCACAAAGGATCCACTGGCGCAAGCCGCTGGGCGCTTGCCCGTCCCGGGGACGGATACCGGGCGGTGCTTATTGACAATTATAACGTTTAATATCGTTCAGGCATCGCCGGCGACTATTGTTTACCTATGCTTGAATTATGTGCCGGGTAAAGTGGCTGGTACAAAGTGAGCGTCCTCGGGTTGGTAAAGCCCCTGGGTCGCCCCCCCCCCCCCTACGGGGGGGAGGGGGGGGGGTCGGTGACCAGCTCTTCCCGTTGTATTCTAGACTGTCACACGCGCAATACTCAGAAAACCTTTGAACAGGGTCGCGGTAAAAACTCTCGCCCACCGCACACCAAACGGTCACCCACAAACCCCTGGATGATGCTGCGCCGGATCCTCTGTCAAAGGCCACTCCTCCCCAAGCCAATGGCGCTCGTGTGTTTCCCGTAGCCAAGGTACGCCGGGGAGTGGGCTCCTAAATAACGAGTCTTGCATTGTGATAATGCCTGCCCCCAGAAGGCAGTACACGTTACACTCGTGTTGAGCTGGGCCACGACCGGCGAGGATACCGACCTTCGGCGAAAAGCTCGCTGCGCATAAACTTTGGGAGTCGACGGCCGCAGATATAACGTGCAACGGTGGGCCCACTGAGAAACCGCTGGCGCTCGTAGTGATGACTCCCCTCAGAGCAGGCCTGACCCCCTCCCCCGCAAGCGATCGCGGGTTGTGCCATAGAGACACCCCGGTCGGGAGTCCTGGGTCCCCCCAGCCAAAGGCCACCGACGTCCCCTCTTCCCCGTAGGGGGGGGCGAGCCAGGGGCTTGGCCGGCAATATTCACAGGGCTACGGCAGTCGCTAAAAATGGGTTTTGCTGGTGCAGTATTGTGTGTTTTTTCCGTAGCGTGCGCGATACATTGTCCTAGTAACAGAGTACATGTACGCGCGATACTAACGGATAGCCTCTTGCTCGCGCAATAAAGCTTTGGACGTGCCGAGAACCCCCGGGGGTTGGGCGAGAGGTGGAAAGGCGAACTCTATGTCTTATTCTACGCCCCCTTGCGGGGGGCTAGAGATAAAAAGAAAGAACGGCGGATTCCTGAGTATTAGATCCCCGCAGGAAAAAATAGCGTTACCGGCCACGCCTCGGTTTGTGCTCGCAGCAGCGCGCTGCGCGCCCCCCTGCCCAGGGTCGGGAAAATTGGGCACATTTTGGGCTTTGCCGAACGGTCGGGTCGTCTGGTGCTCCCTAACCAAATTTTATAAGGTCTCTTAAATCACACTTGTGTTTTAACTGTTCATACCATTTCCGACCACCGGCGTGAAACCGGATCGGTCGGGCGCAAGGCGAGCTGTATCACGAGAATGGCGCTTTTGGGGGCAGGCGTTTGATCAATTCGCGATAGACAGTAGAAGGCTGGCAGGATTTGGTCAGTGCGCCTTAATAACGACGCGACCTGTGTAGCCTGCGCTCCCCGAAGGGGGGTAAGGGGGGGGGGGGGGGTGCCGAGTGTGTAAGCGCCAAGCAAGCTGCGGGAAAAAGCAGCTCGGCTGCTTTTTTGTGTTGCTGCTCCGCCCGGTCGGGAGCAATTGCGGAGCAGGGCCCAGAAAACGCTGTTCGCGAATAGCCACTAGTCAAGGGGGTGCGCGACTCACTAGCCTGGTCAATTGTCCCCGACCGGGACCAGTGCACACATGCCTCAAAAGGTGTCTGCCGAAAGCGCGCTCCCAAGCTAGCGCGCCAGCCGTAACTTCTGGGGGCAGGTATATTACGAGTGTACACAATTATGGATTTAGTTAAATATTTAACCTTTTCATTTCTCTTATTCTTATTAGGTTTTTGGGGAATTTTTTTGAATAGAAAAAATATTATTATAATGTTAATGTCAATAGAATTAATGCTTTTAGCAGTAAATTTAAACTTCTTATTTTTCTCTGTGTATTTGGATGATCTAATTGGGCAATTATTTGCTTTGTTTGTATTAACGGTCGCTGCAGCGGAATCCGCTATCGGGCTTGCTTTACTAGTCGTTTATTACCGTGTGAGAGGTACAATTGCTGTAGAATTTATAAGTCTTCTAAAAGGTTAAGCTGTTATACACCCACAACTAAACTAGTAGTAACCGAAATTCCGTATAACATGCGACCTATTCCCGATTTTTCGAGCGCGCGCTAAAAAAAGCGTAGCCCGTTACTTCGCTGCACAAGTTTGCCAATACCGCGCATACACGAGGCGAGCCCGCCGACCGCGGCAATCGGGAATAAGCCTTTCGCCCCTTGTGTGCACCTCTACTCTCCTGTAGTTTGTTTGAAAACTTGGTTCCCAGAGGGGACAATAGCGTTGGGCTATACACAACTAATTATGCACCGGCGCCCGGTAAATTCCCCGTCGTCGCCCGGGCGGGAGCTTACGAGCGCCGGGTACAATTTGGCGCAGCATCCGTGGTAAATGAGTTTTGGTTTGCTTGCCCCGGTAGGGTTAAGGCACTGGTGCGCGCCGCGGGGGGGCCTGGCCTGCGTTCTGGGGGGAGGCCAGAACCGCGCAGCGTTTCTGGGGGCAGGCAATTGTCCCCTCCCTGCCTGCCTGCCTGTGGGCCGGCCGGCCGGCCGGCCGGCCGGCCGGTGGGGACCAGGCAAATTGCGCGCAGCGCCAATGGCCACTAAGCTCGGCAGAATCGAGCTTTTGTCGCGAGGTATAGTAGACAAACAGGAAGCTCCGCTACTATTAGCGAAAGTCGCCGGTCCCCCCCCCCTTCGGGGGTGACCCCTGGGCCGACCGCAACATTTGAGTGTTCCACGCTTAGACACCCGTACCCAACCTCAGCAGTGCCAATATTCGCGAGCTAACGATCAAGCTATCGAGCACTGGACTGCCCCGGCAGAGTCCCAGACCTTCCCCAGCCTTCCGCTGCATTATATTCTCCAACGGGTGCTGGGGCAGCGACGGTCGGTCACTGCACCCGTTTTTGTTTACCTGTGTAACTGCTTTTATCTTTTATATGACCCCCCCCTAACACAATAGCAGAGTCCTTCCCCGCAAAATATAATCTTCACCTCACTAGCGTTCAAACCTGCTGGCCAATTTTCCCGACCGCCTAGGCCAGCGGGGGTTGACAACTCTGAAATTCAGGCGCAGCAACTGTATTTGCTTTTACTCTCGCTCGGGAATCCCTTGGGGGGCAAGGGGGGGACCGGCATGCACGCTTTATAATGTAGCCAACAGGTTTGGCTCGCCGAGCGTGGAGGGGTCAATTGTTTTATACTCAGTCATTAATGTCCGACTTAAGCGCATACACGCGCAAGTGCCGTATTCGCGCAGCTGCGCCTGTTGTCTTTTTAATAGACACACCTACCCTGGTGCGCGCAGCGCCAATGGCTGCGCAGCTGCACTTTGTGTTATGCAGAGGATCCGTCGACCATCCCCATACACACGGCGCCTTAGGTGGCCAGGTCGCCCAACAGTAGGTCGGACTGCTTGCGGAAGTAGCTCAGTGGTAGAGCGTTGCCTTGCCAAGGCAAAGGACGAGGGTTCAAATCCCTTCTTCCGCTAGCCACCCCCTTATTGGCGTCCTGTTTCACGTTTCGTTACAACTAGAAGATCAATTTGCGCGGAGCGCCAATGGGGCCAAAGCCTCACGCACCTTAAAAAATTGTCGCATTTTTCGGCACACCCGACCCGGCCACCAGAGGTGGCGGTTTGACCGATTTTGCGCAGCCTCGGTCCCTTGGGTTTGCCTCTTCTGTATCACGGGTATGTAAAATTAAAATACATTATAAAGCGATCGTCAGAAGAGGCGCGGGTTGCTCGCAATTGCCCCCGACCGGGCGAGGGGTGCGCAATTGCTCGTCTTTTTGGCGTAGCGACGACAAACTGTGCCCAATTTTCCCGACCGCCTGCCCCCAGACGGCGCAAGCCGCAGCGTCCACACCTGCCTGCCTGTGGGCCGGCCGGCCGGGACCGGGTGGACCCTGGGCGGGGGGGGAATAACATTTCATTAGCTCGCTACGCTCGCTCAACCACCCCGCCGGCGCCCTTCGGGGCAGTGCAGCTGCGCCCCTTCGGAGCCCTGTCGGGGGCCCAACTTGGGGGCTAGACGTTCGCTGCACAGAAATAAAGTGTGAATAGTCCCGGTACATTATTTACATGTGCAGCGAAAGGCCTCATTATTCCATTCCAACGTTGTCACCTTGTGTTGGCTCGGACTGTTTTGGCCCGGCAGAGACGGGCATTCGGGGGGCTCATCGGGGCCACAGGTATCACGAGTGTAGGCACATACACTGATAGACTGCGCGTAAACGCCAAAAGGCGTCGCCGGTGCTCTTGGCTCGGGCAGCGCACACACCCAAGTCGCGCAAGCGCCATTAAATGGCCGTTGCAGAGCTTACTTCCAATAAAAGATTAGCTTCGATTACTCGTTTCTCTACCGCCAGTTTACGAGTTGCGTGTAGCGTAGGCTAAAATACTAAAAAATAGTTGGTTATGAGAAAACATCCTTATCACCTTGTAGACCCTAGCCCATGGCCTTTATTTGCAGGACTGGCCGCGTTTGCTACGACAATTGGTGCGGTAATGTATTTTCATGCATACGCGGGTGGTGGTTTTGTTTGTAGTTTCGGTATACTTATGGTATTATATTCAATGTTTGTGTGCGACCCGTTTACGGGCTAAGTAATTAACCCACACTTTCGTAGCAGGTGAACTGAACTGTCCTGAGGGTGAAAACCCCTTCCTCCAGAGGAGCGGGGTGAAAGCATTGCCCACACGCGCTGGAAATTCGCCCAGAAAAAGGTGTGAAGCTGGGCAATATCTCGCGCGTCGCGCAGTACTC